GTTCCTGGTAAAGAGGTCTGCCTCAAGGCACTTGAAGCAGAACCAGCACTGGGCAGTCGCAACTGGAAAGATTTAAAGAATAATGTCCACAACTCTGTCTCAAAAAAGGAAATTGTTGTAGTTCATTTTTAATTTATGTTGTGCAAATAAAGCCAATTGTGACTAATTTCGTGTGCCAAATTGTTTATCAAGCCTCTATCAATGGAGTGGGTGAATTAAAATAGGTAAATCAAGATTAGAAGACTCTGACAAACATTGCTTTCAGTGTTACTGGTGTTAAGCAAACTTAGCAAGTGACATGTAAGATTGAAAAAACCTAAAGTTTAGATGTCTGCAAAACTACCCAGTTCTAAATGCAGAGATGCATACCATTTTTATAATACATTTTTTAATAGATGTAAATACAATCAAATTTAACCCTTGTGCTGTGTCCAGGTCAAATTGACCCTTTTTTTTTTTTTTAGATTTTTACTACAAGAAAACTGACAAAAGAAAAAAAAGCTGTTGACCTGAACCTATGTGGACTATACATTATATTTACATATAAACAGTCTGAACCAAAGCCCCAGGGACTCTATGCTTCATTATCACCAGGGAGGACCGTGGGAGTGGAGCTCCGTAGTGGGGGAAAGGAACCGGCTAGCTCCCCTGGTGAACCAGAGCTCCAGGCACCCGGGGCACTGAAGTTCACAATGATCTCTTTAGTCTTCTCCACACTGAGGAAGAGGTTTTTGACTTGTACCACTGGGCCAGTTGGCACACCTCACTCCTGTAGTTGGCCTCATCATTGTTGGTAATGAGGCCAACTACAGTCGTATCATCTGCAAACTTGACAATGTGGTTGGTGCTGTATGTTGGCTCACAGTCGTGAGTCAGCAGTGTGAAGAGCAATGGGCTGAGCACCAACTCCTGTGGATCCCCTGTGCTCAGCGTGATTGCACATAAGAATCTAGGTGGGTGAGGGCTGGATGGAGAACAGCAGTAATGGCATCCTCTGTGGACCTGTTTGACCTGTATGCAAACTGAAATGGCTCGTGAGAGGGAGGAAGTATGGACCTGACGTTCTGCACGACCAGCCGCTCAAAGCACTTCATAATAATTGAAGTCAGTGCTACATGCCGATAGTCATTGTAACTGGTTGGGTGGGGCTTCTTTGGAACTGGAATTATTGTGGTGGCCTTGAAACACGTGAGAACAACTGCTTGTCTCAGAAAGATGTTCATGAGGACATCCTTGACTTCCTCGGCACAGTCCTTTAAAACATGACCAGGTATGTTATCTGGTCCAGCTGCCTTGGGTGGGTCAATCCTGGAGAGGGTCTTCTTCATGCTGGCTACGGACAGACACACATCGATTTGATCATGATGGAGCAAGCAGCTTTAGCTTTACAGGCATCTTACGGTGATGATGAACTAGAGGAACTATGGACACTTATTAAAGATGACTTAAACACACACTTGGACTAAGACACACTTGGACTAAACGGGTTGCCAGATTGATATGGATGTTGAGCCAATGGAAAAAATAAAATATGAAGACAGAATGGATAAATAATTGGGTAGTCAACCTCTGACTAGTGTGTGTGTGCATATCTGTTTTGTTGTGTCTGTGTTAGATTTTATTTTGTGTGTGTAATAAAATGGAAAACAAAAACAATGGAATTGCTTTCTCTGTCAAAATACTGGAACAGTGGCTGGTTTTATCTGCTTTGGCTATCAACAATGAAAGACACTGCTGATATAACCTGTCTTTTACTGTGTAAACAACAGTTTCTATGATGTATTAGACAATTCTGCTGATGCTCTTCAGGTGTTCGGTTTCTGCAAATGGGGCTGTGGGTCTTGTCCAGGCTGCATTCATCAGCCCCTCCCAGGCTCAGTCCTCTTTTATCATTAAGGCTGTAATCCCAGAGTGTGTCTCCTAAATATCTAAGATCTGATATTACGCAAACAGTGACACGTCTGTGGATGTTTGCTCCTGTGCTGCTCTATATTCCATTTCTTTCCTTTTATCTGGGTTGCCTAAAATATCTTACTTGCTTTCCTGCTCCTGCTGTCCATCTCATCTGTGTGTGTCTCTCACACACACTCTGACCGTCCTTTCAGACCATTTACAGTACTACTTATATAGACTCTTGCAGTGATGAATGTAAAAGTCTCATGGAAGGCAACCGCACACTAAAGTTGAACAAACAAGTTTTGCCCACAGAATGCAAAGTGTATGTAAAGCTTATACTTGCACACTCACATTAATGCCTGCCAGCAGAGAGCAACAATAGCAGCTATTGACAATGATACTTCTCTGAGATTCTCAGGTGTCTAAGTTATTATTTTTCAGGCCACTTCTGATTTTTCTGGGTTAATTTAGGCTGTGACATTGGAAAGACAAATTTAATATCTATAAAAGATTTTCCATCCATCCACTGTCTATATTGCTTATCCTAACAAGGGTTGTGGGGGTCTGGAGCCAATCCTAGCTGATGTTGGACAAGAGGTGGGGTACACCCTGGACGGGTTGCCAGTTATAAAAGATTTTCCAGCAGGAAATTTCCAGTGTTTTTTCCCAGATCCCAGATGTCCAATTTTATTAGTGAGCATATCGGTGTCATCTCATATTTTTTCATCTACATTTTGCTGTATATAATGTCCAATATATTAATGTAAAAGCTTCAAATAATTTTGATATTTTAATGCTTCCATTATATCCAAATGTTTCCTTGGTCTGTCTTCAATATTTCCACTTGAGGCAGAGGTGCACCATGGGAGGAAATTATATAATAACAGTGTGTTTATTTTAATGAAAGCAAACAGTGATTCCTAATGAAACCAAGGGTGGGACTGTTTACCAAGAGCTTTCCAACTCTCACTCTCTCGTGAACAGTGAGGGCACTGTAATATGTACTGGCACTGCTTGGTCCTTCATACACATAGAAACACACACAGGCACATGTCACAGTAGCAGCACTCATGTGCTTGCTGCTCAGTGAAAAAATATTATCTTCTTAAGCTCAGTTCCATTATTACCATCAAACTTATCTTTTCATCTAATGCCATTATCACTTTGGTTTAGGACCAGACAGCTGCATATTTGGCCCTGTCTTGGCTCCCATGTGCACAATACAAGCACCAGGTGCTTATAAGGAAGTGCATTCAAATTAAAACTGCTCCAGATGTTCTCATTTACATCATTAATGTAGATAAATGCACAACTAAATTGAGAAATTGTGGTTTGATGCAATATTTTGCACTGGTTTAGTAACTCTCCACCTAAATGCCATCTCATTTTAAAGTGCCAGACAGATCAACATTAGGGGTTTAATGCTATCTGCTGCTAAAAATACTGTAAAATATCTTCGCTGATTACTTGTAAGGTGAAAACTCTCCTTTTGATGGAGAGTAAAAAATGTTGTTCTATCTTTCTGTCTACCAGGATTCGTCCTCAACTGGCCAAAGAGAAGATGGAGGGCTGTCATATCTGCACATATGTGATGCCTGGGGAGCCCCAGGTGGTCCTGGGTAAGGACAAGACCTTTAGCTATGACTATGTCTTTGACATAGACACCCAGCAGGAAACCGTCTACACCTACTGCACTGAGAGACTCATCGAAGGCTGTTTTGAGGGCTACAATGCAACTGTATTTGCTTATGGACAGGTTGGTCAGCAGATACATAGGGATCTGTGGTTTGTCAGTTTTTCTTCCCTCTCATGTTAGCAGATCAGGACAGTGGCATAGCACAGACACACAAACATATTCACACACATTCACTGATGTTTCCACTTTGCATCGCTCAAGGGAAAGGATTTGCTTCCAAGATTTATGGCAGCAAGTGATAAAAAGCTGATTTCATTTCATATCATCAGACATGCAATAAGGAAGTAAATAGGCCTCATAACCACACCAGCTCAGTCAATACACTATCAGCTGACATGTCTCAACCTGCTCTCATCACCACTGCTTTATATTGGCTTTGATAGATGAGCCTGAGGGGGAGATGTAGAAAAAGGAGTTTATTATCAACAAAATGGGAACAGATTGCTCTGCCTCATACCAGAGCAGGGAATCAAACCCAGTCACAACATATTTGAGGCATTAAATAAATGCAACACTTGCCTCTCAACAGCAATTAAACTTTCCCTCTTTTTAGTCTTCCCGTCCTCTCCTCTTCTTTCTGTTCATTATTCTCTCCTCACATTGTTCCTGCAGCCCTTGTACTCCTGTCAAAGAGCCTGCTCAGTGGACACTCACTCACACATATGCACAAAGAAGCTAGTGCACAAACATAGTAATTGCATAGGTGTAGTCATATCGAATCAAACAGACAAACACACACATTTGCTTGTACATGCATTCTCTCATCTGTCACCACACACAGATGCACACAGTCCTGGCAGGATCTTTTTTTTAGGTGATTCAACAGAGAGAGGGGGATGACGTGTGAATTTGAGCTCAATGTTGCTTTCGACTTTCTGTCACCATGGAGACCACCCTGTTACCTCTGACTGTCCTGTGAGAAAAACTCCTCACAGATGCATCTCAGACTTCAGCAGTCAGTTGAATGTGACTGAATGATACAGCTTGGCTTCTCTGTGTCCAGACAGGTTCGGGGAAGACTTACACCATGGGAACCGGCTTTGATGTCAACATCAGAGATGATGAGCTGGGTATCGTTCCCCGGGCTGTCAACCACCTGTTTAGAGGCATCGAGGAGCGCAGACAGGCTGCCACTGAACAGGGCAGGCCTGTTCCTGAGTTCAAGATCAACGCACAGTTCCTGGAGGTGCAGAAACAAACCAGAGATGATCAAATATTCATATAAATGCAGATTTATCAGCACTTAAGTATTTTACCCTATTGAAACATCCAATCCACTTAAGGTCCATTACTTAGATATAGCCAGAATGTGCAGACAACAAGAGGTCAAAGGTTAGGAGAGGCTCTAGGGGTTTCACTCTATGTCCACATGACACAACTATCATTAGTCTGTGTCTGTTGTCAGCTCCTGACCTTATTTTTAACAGCCAACAAGTGGCTGCCAACAGATGAGAAGGAAATAGCTGAGAGAAAAAAAAGACAAGGCAAGTGATGATGCATCAGTAATTGAATATTCATGTAGTAATCTGTGTGCATGATCTTTTTTCTCTCTCCTGGTTTTGCACTCATTTAACATACCCTGCAGCTGTACAACGAGGAAGTGCTGGACTTGTTTGACTCGACGCGTGACATTGAGCACAGAAAACAGAAGTCCAACATCAAGATCCACGAGGATGCCAATGGAGGCATCTACACTGTGGGGGTCACCACCCGGACGGTCACTACTGCAGCGGAGGTCAGCCTCACCTGTGAATACATCTAAAAAAAGCGGCGCTCCTTTGCACCTAACTTGTATTTGTGCAGCATTTTACTTGATTTACATGATGGCACTATTGTAATCATTAATACCTCACTGACTATGATAATGACCATACTGCTTTTATTGTTATGACTGCTTTTATTGTTATGAATACTATCTGCCACTGCTGTAAAATTCCCCTTATATCCAATCTACATTTTATTATTTTATTTTGCAAATCATTGTTTTATTTTGATAAAACAATCATAATCCAATCCTAATTAACAGATTGTCAAATGCTGGACATTTGTACTTCCAAGGCATTCATTCATTCATCTTCTATGCCGCTCAGTCCCAAACGGGGTCGCGGGGGGTGGGAAAACATGCAAACTCCGCACAGAAAGGTTGCGAACCCGCAACCTTCTCACTGTGAGGCAGCAGCGCTACTGCTACTGCTGCCCACTTCCAAGGCATTGCTATAATATTAAAGAATCACTTCACCCAAATGAGGAAAAATATACCTTTTCACTAACTAATGATTTCTGCCCACACAGATACAATAGTTATGGTTGTATTTGCACATTTTGAAACATCTACAGCAAAGCTTTTGCTCCCCAGTGCTGTGGAATGATGTAAACTTCATTTGTATATATTACATTGAAAAATTACATTTATAAATTTCAGCATGTTACTGTAACCAACCCATTACATATTGTTGGCAAAGTCTCCAAAACAAACACCCTTGTCACATTTATTGCTATATGAAAGACTATCTATCTATTTATCGCTTTTTGTATTAATTGTTAAGGATGTCCTGTGTGAGTAAGAACTGGAGCCAAAAATTATCTGAGGTTTGATAATACAGACAATTTTGCTGTCATCCCTACACCTCTGGATTAACAGATGATGCAGTGTCTAAAGCTGGGCGCACTGTCTCGTACCACTGCCAGCACCCAGATGAATGTCCAGAGTTCGCGCTCACATGCCATCTTCACCATCCACCTGTGCCAAGTTCGAGCCTGCTCTCCTGATGATAACAATGTATGTACTCAAACGCACAGTACAGGTCTCTTTTACCACCGAACAGGTTACAGATGTTTTGGTAGACTGAGATGATCATCAACTGAAATTTCAGCACTGACATTATATAGTTATAATTGAAACAGACTGAAAAGCAACTAGTTCTTGTTGATTTTCTACTTTGTTCTTTTGCTTCCAGGACAATGTAACAGACAACCGTCTAGCTAAGGACTCAGAGATTAATGAGTTTGAGACACTAACAGCCAAGTTTCACTTTGTGGACCTAGCTGGTTCTGAGAGATTGAAGAGAACCGGAGCTACAGGAGACAGAGCTAAAGAGGGCATCTCTATCAATTGTGGGCTGGTGAGGAAGTTGATACCATGACTGATCCTGCATTTTATATCACAGTGCAATCCAGTCATAATCTTAGTCATGTATTGTTTTTATGCATTTGATCCATAGTAATGTGTCCTTGTGCTGTTCCACTGAAAACTCAGAAAACTGAGTTTTCACACAAGGAGTCTATCATCCTTCAGATTCACGTTTTCACGCAAGGAGTCTATCATCCTTCAGATTCACATATTGTACTGTATCAACCCTCCAGGAGATTTTGTGGAGCAAGAGAGACCCCAGATGGCCAGAACTTGAATTACATACTTCATTTCAAAACTGTATAGAGCAAGTGTTATTTATTCTCCATTTCCACCAGTCCTGGCATTTTTACAGCAAATTTGCCATCACAATCCTACCATTCTGAAAATCTTTTCTATCTGTTTCTCTTTAATGTATTTCTTTCCTCTGTTGCTACAGCTTGCTCTGGGAAATGTCATCAGTGCTCTGGGAGACAGGAGTAAGCGCTCCACTCATGTGCCTTACAGAGACTCCAAACTGACCCGGCTGTTACAAGACTCACTGGGTGGCAACAGGTTTGTGGGGCTGAATCCTGTAAAAACTATCTGCAAATATAGTTTGGATCTGTATCTTTCATGAGTCATTAGCATCTATGCTACATGAAAGTACCAGCCATTAGAGAGCATGTTTGCTTTGAATATCAAATATACCTCACTAGTCTGAATTTAAAATATAAATTCACATAATTATATATGCTAGGATAAAGCACAACAAATGAAGACCATTCAGAAGCCGGTAAAATCTGTTCTTATTTATTCACCGCAGTCAGACAGTGATGATTGCCTGCATCAGCCCGTCGGACCGGGACTTCATGGAGACTTTGAACACCCTGAAGTACGCCAACCGGGCCCGAAACATTAAGAACAAAGTGGTGGTGAACCAGGACAGAGCCAGCCAGCAGATCAGTGCACTGAGGACCGAGATTGCACGACTGCAAATGGAGCTGATGGAATACAAGACGGTAAGAAGACAGATGGAAAAGAGAAGATGAAATTCATATAGGTGATATGAGTGGAGAAACATTATTACTCCATGATAATTGCCCTGTGTGATACCTTAGGGGAAGCGTATGGTGGGTGAAGATGGGATGGAGGGCATCAACGACTTGGTCCATGAGAACTCAATGCTGCAGACAGAGAACAACAATCTGAGAGTGAGGCTGAAGGCCATGCAGGAGACCATTGACGCCCAGAGAACCAGACTCGCACAGATCCTCAGTGACCAGGCCAACCAAGTTCTAGCTAAAGCAGGTAGGAATTATGTGACAGGACTATGTTATAGAAAATACCCGTAACTCTTTGTACTATGGTAGAGAGCAGGGGTGGCCAATTCCAGTCCACGAGGGCTGCTGTCCAGCTTGTTTTCCAACTATCCCTGCCTGACCTGCTGCTGATTACCTGGCTCAGGTGTGTTCAGCCAGTCAGAAGCTGGAAGATACCATCTTAGATGAAAGTGGAGTGAAGAAAGATAAAGTGAATTGGTATCTTCCAGCTGAAGTTGGAAAGTTCCAGTTGGCAGTTGGAAAACAAGCAGGACAGCGGCCCTCGAGGACTGGAATTGGCCACCCCTGGTAGAGAGGATCTGTATTAGCAAGGTTTAAAAAAGAAAACCCACAGAGGATAAGCTTTGCTAGCTTGTTCTATGTTCTTTTAGACTTGCAATGTAACATTTTAGACAAACTTATGAGGCAACTGCTTTTGTTGTCAAAAGTCACAGCACATACACAAAAGCATATGCATATTAGGCTAGTGGTTAAGGGGCAGCGCTTTCGCCGTGGCGTCCCAGGTTCAAATCCAGGTTGCATCAGGAAGGGCATCTGGTGTAAAAACACGTACCAAATGTCAACATGCGAGCCGTCAGTGTGACGATCCGCTGTGGCGACCCTAAACAGGAAAAGCCAAAAGTGACTTTCTTTCAGTATAATAGAAGAAGCACTGTTACTTCCTAATTTCTTAAATTGGCACAGGCAAAACATATTTTGTTTCTCTTACTATATGTTAAGATAACCAAATACTCTTTTAGACATTAGAATATAATGGTCACCACATGTCTTATTATTTTAATGATAATGTTAAATTTTTCATATACAGTTTTAAGTACAAAAAATCAGATATCTATTTGTTTTATTGTTTACCAAGTCTAGTGTCATACTAGCAGCTCTGGCTCAGAGGTACTTTGAGCTATAGCTTGCTTACAGTGGTAAT